CTGATTCTATTCATTCCGTTTAAAAGAGAAAGACCACACCAGGGTAAGCAATGCAGGGTGGTCAGACACATAATCTAATGACAGTGTGTGGAAACCACTACAGAAGACGGCGGGAGCACTGCCAGATTGTGTGACGGGGCCGAGCGGCTGATTTCTATGCAGAGTCCACTGACATTTTCCAAGTACGGACAGCTTTTATTGAAATGAAAATAGAAAATGCAGGACCAGAGCCCACACTAAAAATTCAGTTTAGTAAAGACATGAAACTGCCCACGAAAGCAGAAGGTATTTGGGCCTTGCTCGTCATAACAGAGAGAAATGAGCCTTTATACTAAAATCTTTTTATGATTAGGCTAGAAGCCTGTCACTCTTTGTGAAACAACACTGAGCCGCTGTCTGTTTCATGTGTATTTATTGTTTCTAGTACCTGAAACAATGCTCTTCTGTGCCATTGGGTTTGTTTGCAATCGTAAACTTTGAAAAAATGTGAATAATCAGCAGAGATCAGCAAAAAAAAATGGATAGCTAATGCAATTATTCCCAAATTATAAAAGTACGATGGTCACGAGGCAGCCTTGCTATTCCCTCTCCCAGTCCTCTTTCTTACTAAGAAAAGTAATTGTCTAATTTTGAAATTATTGGAACATCACAGGAGAAAGTGGATGCACATTCAAATGACTTGATTTCAGTGAGTTAGTGTCTAGAAACGAGCAGTTGTGATAAATATGACTTGGTAAAGACCAGAAAGGATGTAGAAGAAAAGTTATAGATCAAGGTTTGGTGTTTTCACATATATATTTTAATTCCATGGACTCACTAAATTTTCCTTTAGGGTTAGAAGATGGTAAAGATAGCCACATCTAGAACCATGTCTAAGCAATATCTTCTAGGAAGCAGGCTATACACCTTGAACGGGCTGCACAGCCTTTGCTATCAAGTTCCATATTGCCCACTCCTCTGGAACGCAGCCTGGGGGAAGGCACAGTGCAGGCGGCAGAGTAGCCTCAGCTCCAGGATTGGCTCCACTGTTCGCTAGCTGGGTAACCTTTAAAGTCTGAAATCTCTCAACTGGAAAAGGAGAATGATAACCTTTTTTCTACCTACCTGTTGTATGGATAAATGAGATCATGAAGACAGAGTGTTGGGAAAATGTAAAATACAGACAAAGGTGGTTATTGCTATAGGTACTGCAGTTTAAGTAATGCATGGTAACCAAATTGCCTTTATTATTTTTTTCCCTTTAACCTCCATCCACTAATTCATCTATCACTTCCCTGGAAGCCCAAGGACCCCTGATTTAGTCTCCCAACAGCTCAGGCATACTCAAGATTACAGCACTTTTGTTTTCTTTTGGCAGCCAGTGGTACTTACCTGGCCTTATCCCAACTTCATGGGTATCAATGTGTTAGGGTGTGTCACTACCCCGGAAGAAACAGCACTCTGTGAGGCACGTGGTCCCTACATCACATTCAGTGTGGTCCTGAGCCCATTCCTAGATGAACAACTTTGAGTCTCCTGACTACCCACCACAAAACCCAATTCCAGCAATAACCGAGCTACAGGAAATCAGTTTGTGGAGCTGGGGGTTGGAGGGAGGGAGAGGAAGGGTGGGAGAGGCATGGGTACTTGGTTAGAAAATTTCTCACGTGGGGCCAGATGGGAGATGAGCATCTTGGGAATAAAGGCAAGATATGCCTTTCCAGGTTGGACCAAGGAGAAAAGGGGGATTGTGGAGATGAGAAGGAAAATCCCACACTTCCATATAAAGACATTAATTAGCTTTGTCACCTTATCATCCCCTTTCTTCACTTTCCTCTATATTCCAGTGGTTCATAACTCGTACTGCATATTCAAGTCACCTGGGAGTTTTTAAAAAATTGCCCAAGCTGCATCCTAGACAAATTAAACCAGAATCTCTTTGGGTGGAACCCAGGCATCTGTAGTTCTTTAAAGTCGCTCAGGTGATTGCAATGGCCAACTAAGGTGGTGAACCCAGTTTGTTCCATTTCTTCTTTATGCGATCCCTCCTCTCCAACACCCAACGGTGTTACCTGGCTGCATCCTCTACTAATGCAGTGTGAGGCAGGATATGGGCTTCAGAGCAAAAGCCAGCTGACTTCAAAGCTGGCCATGCCATTCACAGCACCCACACTCGTTTCATAACTTCTCTGAGTCAGTGTCTCCTCTGGGGGCACTAAGAGTTTATAGCGATGAGTGTAAAGAATAGATTCTCAACACATGTTAGAATCATTTTGTTTTAACAGATTCAATGTCACAGAGACATTCCCCACGATCTCAGATTAACATATTTTTTCACCTCTTAGGAAAGTTCCTATGCCTTTGATGTCTAATTATTTCTCTTCTAAAGTTATTCACTCTAGGTATATTTGCTTATGAGCACAAAGTGATCTGGAACTAGTAGGATTTTAGGAATAGTGAAAGACACCAGTTTCCTAGAATGCTCTGGGGTGACACCCAGAGGTGATGGTTAGTTTTATGTGTCAACTTAGCTAGGCTATGGTGCCCAGTATTTTGATGAAACACTAGTGTAGATGTTGGTGTGAAGGTATTAACATTTAAATCAGTAGACTTTGAGTAGATTACCCTCCATAATGCTGATGGTCCTCATCCGATCAGTTGAAGGCTTTAAGAGCAAAGACTGAAGTTCCTCCAAGCAGAACCAACCTGTCTGCAGCACAGAAACTCTGCCTTGCTGCCCTGCTCTGCAGATTTTGGACTTCACACTACAGAACCAATTGTAGTTTGAAACTCCAGTCTGTCACCTGCCCCAAAGATTTTGGACTTGCCAGCTACCACAATTCTTGGGCCAATTCTTTAGAATAAATCTCTCTCTCTCTCCCTCTCTAAATATACACACATGAAGAATACATTTAGAAAATTTCATGAATATGTGATATATAGCTCCTATTGGTTCTTTTTCTCTAGGGAACCCTGGCTGATGCACTGGGAGTCCTCAGAATGGCTTCATAATTACTTTTGCCGTGCTCACTTCCCTTTTCTCCTCTCCCGAGAGGGACCAACGTGCTCTCCCTTTCACCCTCCAGACCTGGTCCTACATTCTGCCCCCTACAGCTCCTACAGTTAGATCTCTTTAAGAGAATTAATTTAAGGGCAGAAACTGAGTACTATGATTTTCATAAGATTTTTCTAAATGTATCCTTCATGAATATTAAGGGTCATTGATATGAACTACTGATTTATATCTGAGTAACACAATCATGACTTTCAATATCTTTAAATATGTTACGTGTAGTTAAATTGAATAGTTTTTATTTGATATCTAAGAATCTCAGAGTCTTTGGGGTGTTTTGTATGTGTCACTTGATCAACTCTAAAGTTTAAACATACTATTAATATTTTCTTCTAAGTTACATATATTGGATCATTTAAGGGAGAAATTAAAAATAAAATTGAATGTTTATTGGTAAAATCTTTAGCAAATGATCCCAAAGCTACCAAAAGAAGAAAAAAAAAATGCCCTATCTAACTAATATTAGTATTGACTATTGTCATGTGACAAAACAGGTAATTTAAAAATTTGAGTTAATTCCATAGAACTGTAGTCAGTTAATATAATTAAAAATTTAAAAATTTTGATAGACATCATGTATATTAATTAAAATAATATGTGTTACTTATTAGGTTTTCAAAATCAAAGATAGGCTTTATATAATATCAAAATAATTTAAAAGGCACAGTTTTTAAAAAATGTGCTTCTCCTTATCCCATAATCCTTATAGTATTTCCCTGGCAATTCAGCAAACCTCTTAAAATTGAACAAAATTAGAATTTTGTGCTTCTATGTTTACAGAAAGAGCATATCAGACTGACTTGATAATCTAAAGAAAAAACCGTTCTTATTTCAAAGGTTCAGAAAATAAAGGTTATTTACTATGCAGACCTAGACTTCTTGTTAAGTTGTTTTTGAGATAGCAAATTAGAAAAACATGGTCAGAGTTAGAGGCTACTCAATCAGGTTGAGGCTGGGACTTTTATTCCAGGAGCTCCTGTTCCCCAAATTTTATCTGATAATGTTCTAAAGTCTAAACATATTTTAGTTCAAAAAGATGCTTGGCTCTTAGATATAAAATGGCACAAAGCTTCCAAAAATCAATAGGTTTACCCGCCCTCTTCAAATGATGTATTTGTAGTCAGAGTAATCTGCTGCTCAGTACCTCTGAACTGTAGTATTTGAGGAACTGAAACTTTGAGCTGGATTGTTTGTTTTTCATTTTCCTGTGCATAATCACAGGATAGGGGCATTAATAAGGGGGTTGGTGTATTGGCCAGTGCTGAGGCCTATTATTTAGGCAGAGTCACGGCAACAGAGCAAAGCTGAACGTGTGCAAGTGTAGCGTAATTTCAGCCTGCATTGTGTCAAGCGGAAGAGAAGACGTGTCTGCAGACCCAAGGAGTAAAATGTACAAAACTATTTGAATTATCTCTGCATTTTCAAACTAGATACAGCATCTACATTTCCTAAGAATTTAAGAAACACTGGTGGTAAGTCTTTCCCCAAACCAGCTACAGAAGTATTATTATCTGTAAAGCAATATGGCGTCCATAAACTCAAAATTGGCAAAACCCACTGAACTACATTTCAGAGAGAGTAGGAAACTTGAAATGGTTGCACTCTGAGGGTGTCCACGTGGGTGGGCAAGCTTATGTTGCTGCTAGGCAGGGGAAGTGGTACACCACGATTTCTTCATAAGTGTGAGGTCTTTATAAACTCATCCTTGTGGGGGCTGTTTTAAATAGAAAGAAAATGACACACAGTCCCCAACCAAGCTTCCTAACTGTTTGGGGAGGGTTGCCACTTTCCCAAAACATTAGGTTATTGTGGGGGAATTTTCCAAAATTGTCAACCATCTCATTTTTAAACTCAGTTCTTCCTCTCGACATAAGACAGATGCAATATGGCAGGAACTATATTTGGTCTAGCAGGAGATGCAAGTTATTTTTACTATGCTGACGCCTACCTGACAGTGGAAGACGTATTCTGGTGTGGTTTTCTTAAACTTCATGTTCCAAACCAAGGCCACTCCATCTGGTTCATGGGGAGCGTCTTCATTGTTGTTGTAGGAAGCAACCATCAGCTCAGGGTACTAAATGGAAGAGATCACAAGGATAGATTATGCTGGGATGACGACACAAGGAAAACTTTTTTATTTCTACATTCATGTGCTATATTACACAGTGTAAATGGTGCTTTCTTGTGAAATTATAGCATACTTAGTATCGATGTACTGCCTCAACCCACTGCAGTCCAGTCTCTGCCTCCGTATGGGCTGCCATGGTCACCAATAACTACTAAACTTCAAACACTGCTTAACTCTCTGTATTATTAATATCTGACACTTGGGGCTACTCCCTTCTTTCTGCTATGTTTGCTTCTGTTACATCTTTCTCTTCTGATTTTCATTCCTGATCACTCTTTTTAGTCCCTATAGGTTCTCCTTCCATTGCATATATTCCAAGGGGGGCTGTTTTGTGCTCTTTTTTCCCTCCATCTACACATCCTCCCTGGGTGAGCTCATCTATTCCAATGGCTTTAGTAAGCTTAATAGGCTGACAAGTTACAAATTTACATCTCCAGGTTTAATTTCTCCCTGAGTTGCAGACCCCGACATCTGACTGCTTGCTGGGGATTGCTCAGGGCTGTCCACAGACACAGCAGATGCAGTGCATGGGAAAAAGAGCTCACTGACTTCCACATAAAACCTGTGGCTTCTCCAATGTTCCACTGAGGAAGGCAACAGCTTCCCGAATGGCTTCCTGCTTCCAGGCTTGCCAGCCCTACATTCACCCACTCCACTCTCCATCGTTTGTCAGGATGACTTTACAAAATATTTATCTGGCTAAATCCCTCCTCAGCTCAAAATACTTTAATGGCTCATCCTTACTTTCAAGGCAAAACCCAGGTCATGTAGGATCCTTCACGATCTGTCATTTTCTACCTTTCCTGTTTGTTCTCTTACAACCTCCCCTCTCCCCCCACCCCCAGCCTCTGTACCTAGGAGCCTGATACTCACTCTCATTGGAGAGTATCTATTCTGTGTTGTTTACATCATTAATTCATCCTTCAAGATGCAACTCAGGCATCAAATCCTCTAAACAATCCTTACTAACCATCCACGCCTCTTCTTTGCCTCTTCTCAGCTGCCTTAGTATTCTGTGTCCCTCCACCCCCAACTAAAGCATTTGTCAAATTGTATTATGATATTTTCCCCACCTATCTCTTTTACTAGACTGTAAGCTCTTTGAGTGTAGGGACAGGTTTTTATTGACCTCTGAACCCAGTGTCCAGTAATTCCTAGCACATTTTGTGTCGAAATCTGTTGGAATTATTTTTAGTTTTTACTTTTATAAACTTCTTTTTATTTCAGCAACTTTGTGCTCAGTAGAAAGGCCTTAGATTTAATCCTTTGTTGTCACACAATGCCAATAATTAAAGGCTTAAATGCAAGAAACAGAACCAGCAAAATAAGAAGGAGGACTCCATAGCGATGCCAGGTGTTAGAAATACCTACTCACCCTACATGAGTGAGTAGTGTTACTAAATAAACTGAAGGTAAATCTCATAGGAACTATATATGAGTTAGGGTGCATTTCATGAAACTGCCATTCCTACCTGGAATTGTCATAAGGCAGTTCCATTAAAAATAGCATCAGGATTATGTTGGATCATATCACTCCCTTCTCATAGGTCATTTAATTTTTTCCTTCTTTTTTCACTATGCTGTGTATATATTTGGCAGAAGATTTCCCTAATTTGAACACAGACTTTTTTTCCACAGTAAGTCTTCTCTGTGGCTTTGAGTAAAGAAAGCTGCAGAGAGTCACAGCTTGCTGCTTGGTGCAGAGGAGGTATAAGCGAACGACACACATGCATGTGGCCACCAGGGGAAGTAATCATTCTTTATTAGAAAACACTCCTCAGCGGATGAATCAAAGGCCTATTAAGAAAGGCCTTTGATTCAAAGCCCATTCAAAGAAACTAACATCCAGATAAACACAGAAGTCTCCAGACTGTCCATCTGAAGTTTAACTATGTCACATGTGAAAAGGCAACTCTATAAACATCGACACCACTACCACAGGGGCCAAAGAGCAGCCAGATGTGTCTGGAATAATATCCCCCAGCTTCACATCTGGGTCTCATCGTTTACACCCACTTGCAGCTTTTCTTTTTTCTCTTTTAAAAATATTTTAAATTGTTTAGCTTTAAATCTCCTTTAGAAAACAGGGAGTGTTTTAATAAAATACCAGTGAAATGCTTTTGGCAAAATCTCTATAACTGGGATCATAAGGCCCAAAGATACTGATTTAAATTTAAGCTCATGCAAGTTTTTATGACCTCAAAGTGTCCTCTAGTATGTCCTTTTCCATTGTTTGTTTAAACATGACTAGTCATATTTTCTTATTCTCAAATTAAAAGTCTCTAAACAATTATTTAAATGTCAAATGTTGTTAAAATTATAATTTTAAAGAGATATGAACAATTATGAAATTTGTGATCATCTGATTACTCATAGGGCAGGATTGTCCAATATTGAACCTAGGGAAGTTTTACCTGGAAATTACCAGATATGTTCTCAAACCCAGTTTGTTCTTACAGATAAATGAAATCTAACATTTACTGGAGAGGAACAAACCAACATGTCTTAAGTGCCCATTATGTGCCAGACACTGAGCTGGGTGATATGTCAATTCGTTTGGTCCTCACAATCCTTTAAAGTGGGCAATGGTTCACTTACTTCTACAGACAAAGAAGCCAAGGATCCTGGGTTAAATAATTTATTCCAAGCTATGCTGCTAATAACTGATAACGTGAGATCCCCACTTGAAATCTGCTGGGCTTCAAAGACCATGTCCCTTCCTGTCCATTACGGCATACGTCAAGTGCCCCTATACATGTATAAAGCACTGTGACGGGTAAAATGTGGGATAAGAGTGCTCATAACATAATAACATGGTCTGCTCGTTAGGAACTCACCATTAAGCAGAAGGAGAAAAGACACGTGTTGGAATGACTACAACACAAACACAACACAAAATAAATGCGAAGCACGACGTGCTAAAAAGGAGGTATAAGCAAGGTTCTGTAGAAGCATGGAAGAGAACATGCCAACTTTAGTTGGGATGGAGTATGGCAGCGGGGATAAATTGGAAGGGACTTCAGAGAAGAAATGGGACTTGAGTTGGGCCTTGCCAAGTGCATAGGTTATTAGGAAAGAAGAGAGAGGAGAGTATGGACAAGAGTACAAAGACGGTGTGGGAGATTCTCTTGGATATTCACCTGGTTCGCATGATTCTCTGTCTTTGGAGATGACCCCAATACACAGATGTCTAACTTCTCAGGGATAATTAATTAATTGCAGGGTTGATACTTGACCCCGCTGAGCCAATCACATCCTCTAACCTGGATATTGTAAATTTTGAACTGAGACACAGAACTCCTAGGCTGGCAGATGAGTCAGGACAATGCCAGCATCCTATTGGTGAGGGACCTCAAGCTGCTCAGATTTCTAGTATTGCTGAGTTTAAATTTTCGTCTTTTTCATGGATTCCCTTACTATGCTAGTGGCTCTTTAATAGATTCCTCTTTCTACTTAACCCCGCCAGAGGCAAAGCTTTTTTGACTAATACAGTGAAGAAGACAGTGTTCAGGAGGCATCAGGTCGTAGTATTTGGCTGGAGAAAGGCTATGTGAAGAGGTGTGAAAGAAGAAAGGCCTGGAAATGCCTTAGAGCATCATCAGGGACGTCACTGAGTAGAGGCTAACCATTTTAGATTTTACTCTGGGGACAACAGGAGTCATACTCTGCAACTACTAATGCTATTGCTACTACTACTCTCATTACTATGTTCAATTTACTGAACACTTTTATGCACAAGACACTTTTAAAATTCTTGGTCCTTTAAGATATATTAATTCATTTAATACTCCCAATAAGCACGTGACCTAGGTATTATCACTATCATCATTTTAGAGTAAGGAAACTTAAGCCAAGAGAAGTTAGGCAACTTGCCCAAGTTGATATAGAGGACACGTAAGTAATCTTTACGAAGATGAATCCGGTAAAAGCACTTACAATGACTCGACTACATCGAGACTGGAAGTAGGGGCACCAGTTAGGAAGCTATTTCCTAATATCAGCAAGAAGTACAGGGCATGACATAAAGTAGGCGTAAAATCCACGTGTTAGTAGATTTAAATTGGTGCCAGTGGGAGTCTTTTTGCTACCGTGAATTTGACTGGATTTAGCAATTAAATGAGCTGTCAAAGATTACTCAGGTTTGTACCTTGGATGACTGCAGGATTGGAGGACACTATTTACATGTGAGAGGAGTATGTGTGGTGGCAGCGAGGTCGTGAGTCTGGTTCTGTACACGTCCGCAAAATCTGTCACGTGGTATGTGGATAGAATTACTGACGCACTGTGCTAAACAATGTTCAGTGAGTGACAGAGTTGACATAATTCCCCAAGTCCCCAAATTTCTTCCAAGCAATGATGTGTGGATGATATATGTTGCAACATTAAAGTGTTCTTCTTTAACAAGCCCAGGAGATCAAAGCAAAGCTATGCTGAAACCTTATAATTTCTTCCTTTTTCTCCCCTCAGCTTCATTCTGTTACAGTCAGGAAATCATCCCAGGCATGCATGCCACTACTAGACTCCGAGACTGTGCCTCCATCCTTCTCTTCTTTCTTAATATCGTTGGATCACATCCAGATTCATTCAGAAAGTCTCTGAACATGTAAACCTGGTTCTTCAAACCCCATAAAATTGTTGTGATATAGGAGCCGAGGGTTCCAAATCTTTTTTTTTTTCATATATAGAAAGCTATTTATTTCTTACAGAAAATATCAAAAAAATTGAGAGAGAAAGAAAAAGAAAAAAAGGAAGGAAGGAAGGAAGAGAAAGAGAGAAAGAGAAAGAAAGAGAAAAAAGGAAACAAATCTTTTTTTTTAACGCCCCATATAAAATACATTTTTTCAGAAATACAAACCTGTTCCCCACAGTGTAGGTGGACAGACTACATAAATGTGGGAGAAATAAATGTGGCCTCTTTATGGTGGAGTTTCTGCCCTTTCTGGTTTCACTTCCTGCAACACAAACATCACACAGGACCCCGTGTGGAAACACACCCATGGGCAATACGGCCCGTCACCTACTGAGGCAGGTGGGGGCCCGCCCTGCTGACAGGGCCACGGCCTCCTCAGGGAGTGTTCCTGGCTGACGGGGGACACGGTAACAGTTGCCTTTGAGGAATGTGTCAGATAAGGTTCCTATGTAATTCCCAGACTCCGAACAAGTGAACAAGCTGAGCTAAGTGTTTCCTCAGGCTTGGATCTGATTTCTGTGCACACCCGAGCGTGCTCAGAGACCACCCACACGCTGGCGGAAAGCGGCTGGGCAAACCCTGCTGTCTCAGTCTCTGCTTGATGTGTTCTTTGTTGTTTGGATGTAAAAGAGGATTCAAGGGGAGAAACAGTCACTCTCTTGGTGGCTGACGAGAGTCCAGTTTGGAGGATTACACTCCTCTTCAGTTCTCCTGTTCTCCAATAGGATTAAATGGGGCTCTTCTTCTCATGTTTTATGGCTCTGCCTAGAACACCCTCTTCTTTCCTCCCTTTGCCTAAATCCCAGTCTTCAGAGAAGCCCTGTCTGACCAGAGACAGATCCCAGTCCCACTGAACCCTGAGAGCACTTGCTATCTGCCCCATATCATTCAGCACCTATAAGCTCTCTTAGTTTCAGATCCAGCTCTTTGTGGGAGGCAGTGGTTAAGAACATACACCTTGGAATGCCAAAAGACTTGGATTTAAATCCCCACGCTACCACATCCTAGCTAAGTGATTTTTAGCAAGTTACTTAGCTTCTCTGAGCCTCAGTTTCTTCAAATATAACATGGAAATAGTAATAGTGGCTGCTTCATTTGGTTGTTGTGAGGGTGGAATGTACAGCCTTCAGAGCAGGTGGCACAGCACTTTGTATAAAAGAAACACAAATGAAAAGCTAGCTATGAGGCCAGGCATAGTGGCTCATGACTATAATCCTAGCACTTTGGGAGGCCGAGGCGGCAGGATTGCTTGAGGCCAGGAGTTTGAGACTAGCCTGAGCAATGTGGTGAGACCCCATCTCTACAAAAAATAGAAAAATTAGCTGGGCATGGTGGCATGTGCCTGTGGTCCCAGCTACTTGGGAGGCTGAGGCAGGAGGATCACTTGAGCCTAGGAGCTTGAGGTTGCAGTGAGCTATGATGATGCCACTGCACTCTAGCCCAGGGGACAGAGCAAGACTTTGTCTCAATAAATAAATAAATAAATAAATAAAAGCTAGTTATGCCAACCTGGGCAACATAGTGAGACCCATTCTTTACAAAAATATTTTTAAAAAATTAAAAATTAGTCAGCCATGGTGGCTGTAATCCCAGCTACTTGGGAGGCTGAGGCAGGAGGATCACTTGAACCTAGGAGTTCAAGGTTGCAGTGAGCTGTGATCATGCCACTGCACTCCAGCCTGGGTGACAGAGTGAAACCCTGTAAAATTAGGCTGTGTGCCTTTGAATGTATTACTTAACCACTCAGTGTTGGGCATAGTGCTTGGTATATTATCAATTAGTTGAGTTGGCCATTCAGCACATTGGCTTTTAGTAAATTTGCCTGCCTTCACTCTGAATGCCACACTAATGAGTTGAGACATTTTTCCTATGGGCAATGGAGAGTTTTAGTCCAGGGAATGAAATGATCAGATTTGTATTTTAGAAAGATGATTTGCGTAGACGTCCAGAGGGAAAATTATAGGTGGACAAGCATGGAGGTAGAAAAACCAATTAGAGGGTTAAAAATAGTACAGGTGTGAGATGATGAGTAGATGAGTAGAGAAATGGCTGGTCTTGGTGACAGACTCGTCTGGAAGATAAAGGAGAGGAAGTTGGTAATATTGATGACGAGAATAGGCCCTTGGGTATACTGCGATGCCTTTAACATAGAGACAATGTAGTAAGCAAAGAAGGATTTTGGATATATGGTAAAAATGATTAGTTTGAGATTCTATGAGACACCTAAGTGGATCTGTCTGGTATATAAAGTGAAATTCAGGAGAGAGATTGGGTGGGCGATACAAATAGGCTGTCCATGTTGTTATTGAACCCTTAGCAGTGGAAGAGATCTCCCCTGAGAGTATAACGGGAAGAAGAGCAGAGGTTAAGGGCATGACCACAGGGACCTCAGGGTGGTAGAGGAAAAGGAAATCTTGGAGAAGTCAGAGAACTGGAAGAAAGTTGAGTAGAGAGAACTTAGCAGAAACAGGTTGTTTCTGTAAGCATGGGGAAGTCAACTAAGCTGGTTGACAAAGAGAGTTCAGGGCAGATGAAAGCTTAAAAATATCCACAGGATTTGACAAGTAGAAAATCAATAGTGACCTTAATAAGAGCAGTTTCATGGACAGAATGGTCCAACTCCTTGTCTGGTACCTAGCACATAGTAGATACTCAATAAATACAAATAACTGAGTGAAGAATTTAAACTGAAACCTTAGTAAAATGAGAAAGAAGACCAATGGACATGAAGAAGAAAATTGTAGTTTAGTAAGCATATCTAAAGTGGAGGAACAAATCTCTCTTATTTTTTTTTATACAAATGCCATGAGAACACAAGCCCAGGCTGTGCCATCCCAGCAATAATTCTTACCTGGAGAGACCAATCCATACAAGTGACCACTCGATGCTTGGACCAATGTTCATCATAGAACTGACGATTGAAAGAAAGATTGGCTCCAGCCTGAACATCCCTAGGAGAGTTTAAACATCAGAGATAAATACGATGCTTCAGAATGGGGCTTTCCATCTCAGCTGCTCATACTGAAACATGAAATGGCAAAAGTACAGCACACAATGCTCTCTGAAGCCCGAATGTCAGTCTAGACAGCAAACTCTGGTTAACATAGGTGAACTAAAGATGGTCTCCTTTATGAAAAGATCTTTCCAACTTGGCCCAGAAAAGATTTCCACAAGTTCCAAGCCTGGTATTAAACGTCCAATTTGTTTCAGGCTCCCATCTAGACCAGTCCTGAAGCATTCTCCTTTCCCTGATAGGCTCTAGCCTGAAATAGGGTTTATTAGAAATCTCCCTGTTACAAGGGAAGGCAGCACACTAGGAGATTCTTTGATATCAATACAACCTTAACTGTCCTTAGACCAGAAGTGATATGCATGTTTTTATTTACCTGTAAATTCTGATCGGCTACAGCAGTTGCCTCCTCGCTCAACAGTAAGTGATAATCTCTACCATAAGACAGGCATGGTGGAGAGTGGAGGATTCACCAGATGTGTTCCAGATACTTCCCATTCCTACCATAGACCAAAACAGCATCTGGGTCTAGGAGGATTACACTTTGGCCAGCGCTTACCTGGCTGACGCTCAACTGGCTACAACACATCCTTCGAAGAACTCAGCACTTGGTCATGCAGTTGCTCTACGAGGCTGAGTGTTTAAATTGAGTAATGCTTGTTCTGTGCCAGCAGCTACTAGATCTGCATAAAAAGCTGCCTAAATTTCTTGGACTTCAGTTTGGAAATTCTTCTACACTCACCCTGTTCATTTGCTTCACCCATTGGCTTGCATTCTGCATTGCTTACATAGCTCTTGCTCAGACTGGGTGACCTGGCTTCAGACAAGTTATTTGGGCTCTAATTAGTCAACCTATATTATGACTTTTTTCCCCTGCTAACCCTTCCTCAGCTCCACCATTGCAAACTCAGGCAAGAGGTACATGTACCCAAGTCCTGCCAGGAACTGAGTCAGAGAATAAATGATCAACTGAGTCAGAGAGTAAAAGATAACAAACATTGCAGAATATATATATATATATATATATGTCTCCAAAATATTGTTGTGTCTTCAAGGTAGTCTAAACATGCTGTCAACTGTTGAGAACATTTTCAGAACTTCTTTTTGAAATTATTTTCAGCGCCTCTGTTAAATTTTTTTGAGCATCCTCAGTGATGATAAGACATTGTCCTTTAAGAACGTATTTGAATTTTAGAAGTAGTAAAATATAATCTCTGATGAAAAAGGCCAAGTTATCCTACCTTCACATACTGTTCTTGGCCAAAAGAAATATGTGGCTAAAAACCAGCTATATTTCTGTCTTATAAGGCTCATACAATTCATCCTATTGTCCCCGTGATGACGGTTGACAGCCACTGTCTTTTCCAATACATACGCTGCAGTTACAGGGAAAGTCATTTGGGGACACTTGTGTTTACTGATTAGTTTTTCGTTGTTGTTGTTTTATCTGTAAAACACATATCCTTGCATATATGCTTCCTAAAAGGCATATATACATACACATGATCTCATGGCACCAAAAACGAAAAAATTTTCCAGTCTCCGCTCGCAGTCTCCCATATCAGTTAAGTTCTCCCATATCTCATGTTTATTTTCTTCAGTTTCCTGTTTGCTTAGACATCAAGAATAGAGCTAGTGGATATAACACAAATCTCCTTTGCTATTTATAAGAATGTTTTCTCAAAGGATAATGTATGTGACTTTGCCAGTCTCTATCACCTGGACTGTTCCCCAGATATCAAGTTCAAAAGCATTTCAGGGAAGCACAAGATAATTACAGGGAAACTCTAAGCCAGAAGTTATAACCAAAGCCTGCAGTCAAAGCTGTTCAGCAACATCAATCCTGGAATATCATCCTCCTCTGATTTGTTAAATTTGAGATTTGCCTAGTCAATACATAAATAAATTTAGAATAAACAGATAATTTACACTATTTTTAAAAAATGCACACAAGAGACTAACCCATCTTTTTCTTCTAATTCTCGACCACTGTAGTCAAAAAAGATGTCGGAGTCTTCGGCCAGTGCTCTTTCAATCACCCGTATTGTTCGATCAAAAAAGATAAGAAATTCCTCTGAATGAAGGATTTGCTGTTTTTCTTCCTCTGTCAGCTCCCTTGGAGGGGCTTTTTTGTAAAAGATATTTTTAGGAAAGAAAAAAGGGACAATTAAAACTTATTAAGAAGAATCCAACTTTTGAAAGAGACTGCTTATCAAAGGAATAATAAGACACAGTGAGACAAACAAGTGTTAATATCAATTCTAAATTATTGCCAAATCACACCGAAGGCTGTTGCCGATGTCCCCACAGAAAGATTTCAAATCTGGCCTAATTACAATTTTGAAGAGTTGAAAAATATTACAAATAAAAATAGATTAGTGTGTTTTTAGCAATCAGTTCTGAATATTATTTTCTTTAAAACTAAACTTGAAAAAACAGCTAAAATAAGGCATAATAGATAAAATTTATAACTGCATTTATACATATTGTTGTACTATTACCAAGCTGGCAATATTAAATAATTAGGAACTGTCTGTAATATGATCCACCTAGTACCTTTCCTCTTTCTACTACATGAATTCGCTTTAATATTTTAGATGGTTAGTTGGGAAGGCTGACTGGTTGTTATACAGATTTCATTCAAAAGCTGAAACATGTCCTTCCCAACCCACTTTCACTCAAGATATCTTCTGCTTTTAAACAAACACATAGAACACATAAATTCTTCTAGCGAACACCCCACAATTGTTTTTATGCCTCACTTTTCTAGCATGATTAATCTTATCAAACTAAATTTGAAGATACAAAATAATAAAAAGAGAGATCACATAACTAGCAGTATGTCATAGTTTCTGAAAGTTAGCTCACATTAGAGTCACCGTTTGGTAATATAAACCATTCCTTCGGTAGTAGGTTTTACATAAAGCTATAGGGAAGGGATTAGGAGCACCTCCAGATTGAAAAACCCTCAAGGGTAGAAACTGTCAGCTGAAACTCCGTGGAGCTTCAGGATCCCAGTTCAACTCTGGCACAGAGAGCCTTCAGTAATAGTTTGACTGATTACTCTTTCAGTAGCACAGAAGCTCCTGCAGTTAAACCCACAAGAGGCGGGTAGTGAATTATTATATAATCACAGGTGGGGTCCTTGGTGGAATCACTTACCCCCACAGCTTCACAAACACTTCCACAACCACCCCAATAACCAGGAACGATTTCTACCTGGCCACGTGGTCAAAGGAATTTAGGTACTATCCCTGTAGCATAAGGTATTATGGAAGTGTTATTTGATTTGATTGTTGGTATCTTGAAGCCACTGTCCTATGAAATCTAAACTGTCCAGAAGCCCTTCTGCAGAGTCATGGGAGTGAATCTCAAGGTTCAATGTTTACATTTCTCCCCTTCCGACTTCCCCTTCCCTGCCCCAGAACATGACGCACAGTGTCTGGAAGGACTTGAGAATATTTATTTACAAGAAACTATTAATAGAATGATTCAGATGTAGCTGGCTCACACCTTAATAAATGCTCACCAGGTAATATTATGATGAAACATGATGCATCCACCACAGCAGAAGACCTTCTCAAACACAATCCCCCCCATGGTTTCTAGCAACCATAACTATAATCGGAAATATTTTTTTGCTGCCTAAGTCTCTAGAGCCCTAAATATGCCAGTGTGTACCGGGACTTTCCAAGGACCCCTATCAACTTCTACTGAGCAGTGTTGCCCAGACGCTAGTTTGAGAATTGGTGAGGTGGGCAATGTGTACACTCAGACTTTGACTAGATACTGGGGGCATAAGTGGAAGCCATAAATAACACAAAGGACTCTACAAAACCAGCCTGGAATCAAACATGTATCCTGCTATTTGCTAACTGTGATTCTTTAATCAATTCATTGAAGTTCTCTGAGCAGCAGTTTTATCTATAAAATGTAGATAATGATGCCTAAAATTTAAGTCTAATTTAAGGGTAAAAGATAAATATATTGGGCAAATAGTTATGCATTTACTATTTAGTAATTAAGTAGTAATTTGTTAGTCTACGTTTTAAAACTCCTATACGTAGACATTTGAATTATCTCACCCAAGAATACAATAAAACTATTAAATGGAAGCAGGCAAAGGAAAAAAAAAAACCTACACAATGCTAGGTCCATTTTGTTTTAATTATTATGTTACATAAATAAATAAACTTCACTAAACAAGCATACTACAGGCCAAGAAGAATGTCTTATTTAAAAAAGACTCACTCAGCCTTGGTCACTGTTAGTGGATGACTTGGAACACACTTGAGATTAAACAAAGAAGTAGGAACTTTTACTTTTATCCCTTTTTTTTTAATGATATAAAAATATATCTAGTCTCTGTTTATCTTTTTGAGCCACTTTTATTTCACCTGTATCTTTCCTTACAGGTCCATCACCTTGAATAAAAAAACAGTATATGAGTAATTTTCTGTAATTTTTTTCTTCCCTGTAGCTTATTGTCACTTTGATCTCAGCTTTCAAGACACACAACTTCTTCTTTAAGAGAAACATAAATGGCTGATCAAAGTGTGCTTGCAGAGGCCAAGTTCAGGTAGGTGAAGCAGTAGCCTCTCCAGATATTACATTTGACAATACAATATTTGGCTTGAAATCAAATTGCTACTGAAGCAAACAAAGGATATATTTTATATTAAGCTTTGATGTCTAACAGGGATCAAATGACATGATTTGTTAGCACAAAATAATCAGATGCATGTGCAGATGAGTACTTTTTAAGAGTCATAAATAACATTCAACTTAGGAGTTAAGTAGAACCATAGTTATTTTTGTAATAAAAAAAACCCTCCCCTACTTAAAATTCTTTAAATTGATAAGTGTTGTTACAATATAATGAAAACACAGTGGAGTATCCAGGAACTACAACCAAAAGGTGTATTCAGGGACAAAACCTCTCCAGACATCATGTTTTGTGAAAGAAAATTGGTCGATTAATGGAATCCATAAAGTATTTTTTCAAAGTACAGGAATAAAAAAATAGAATCAGAATTGTTTTACTCCAGTATAGACCCCAAATTCTCCCTGAAATATGTGTTTCTGCAGCTTTTCCCTAACGAATTTATTTTTAACAAGTTTACAGCATAAAACGGTAGGAATTAATTTAACAGCAAAAGGCATAGCAGAACAAAACGTGGGCATCGATAACATTTTATTTTTCTTATAAGTTAAGCAGAAAATGCTATGATAGCAGATTTTTTGTTTGCTTATTTTCATACACAAAACATGGAGTATTTCTGCCAAGAACCGACAGTTAACAATACCTTATCTATTTAAAATGCTCTTTAAAAAAAAAGATTCTTTATGAAAAGTATAACACATGGATATAACTTACATTTCCAAATGACAAGACAATTTTCAAATTTACCCAAACAGTTATATTTAACTTTAAATAACATGTATGCAAGAAATGTACTGAATTCATGAAATTCAAAATTTAGAAGACAGCCTAACTCTATGACCTGCAAAATTAAAATCTAAAATAAATTTTATTTAGGATCCATTTTTTATTCTTTTTTATTATAGAAATATTAATTTCTCTTAGTTTTACATATGAAAATACTTTTTAATGTATTTTCAAGATGATTGTTTCCTATTTGCTGTGTGTTCTTGACTTTCCTTATTGATTTTGATATGTACTTTGTCAGTCTCTTTAATTTAATCTGTTTACTATACACTATATCTTTTGGTTTCTAGGGTTCTTGAGATTTTTTTACTGTATGAAAATGTAAAATTCATAATGAAGTTTACAACTTCTGTTGAGTTTTTTAAATATCTCATTTTTAGGTTAAAATTTATTTTAAAAATATCTAATTTAGAAATGTCTTGCCTTGTTTCAGTGATGTAGCTTTAAATTTCAATATAAAAGTTATATTTAAAAATATTTTTTCAAGAATATCTAAAAAATAATAAATAAATAAACTTACATAGCCAGGAAAAACATTGGATTAAATAGGGACAGTGGCTCTCATGAGAATTTTACAGTGAAATCAGTTCATAAACAGCAGCAAGAAAACCAAACCCAGCTAACAACGAAGGCTATGCTTCTCTGAAGTTAATGTGAGGTTTATGAGTTAATTTATATTTACAAGAGTTAGGTTCCTGATTCTGTTGCTTTGAATCTCTAAACATGAAGACACTAGGATACTGGCATATAGAAATTTTCTAAACTTTGATTAAAGGCTAAAATGTACTCACTGTTTTTTCCTGCCCTATTGCAGAAAAAGAAGCAAAAACAGTAATAAATCAAAACTATATTTCTTTATCATTTAGTGCATTTTGATATCACATGGGCAAAAGTGTCAAAGGCTAGTAAGCACTGATTGTTTTCCCCATCTCCCTCTCACTACTTTTTTTTCCTTCTTCACTTCAAAAAAAAAAAAAAAAAAGCCAAATAGATTTCTCAAAAATGTGTTTCCTGGTTTGAAACTGTGTATGTCAAGTTTCAGCCCAGAGCAAATTTTTATGGCTGAGTAATAAATCCCTGAAACGCAGGGTTCATAATGGAAGTGCTGACACAGCCCTAACTACTATGCAGTCGTGTGAATGGCGCCACGATTATATCTGCTAGAGATTCTTTCAAAAGTTTGCAAAATACTGTCTTGCTTAAAAAAAAAAAAAGCCAGAAAGTTTGATGCCAACATAAACATGCTTTTAACCCATTATGTGCTAATTTGCAGAAAAGCCATTAATGGATAAGGCACACAGTACAGCAGTAACAGGAAATGTTCTTTCAAACTTCTTTTTGACTTTTAACATGACTTTAATCAATTCCATGAAGCATGAGTAACAGTTAAAGCTGAAGGGTGTTTTTGCTCAGAAATGAAGAAGGAAGTTGCTTTGCTTTGCCAGAGAAGATGGTTTGGAGGTTGGGGTTGAGGGCGGTACTGATGGGGAGTTCATGCCAAGACACACAAAACCTACCCTGGCTTCTATCACCGGGTATATTTTAAGGATATTTTACAAAAGGTAAAATATTTTAATAGATCCTGTTTTGTCCCTTGCGACACCTGTGATAATGATATTCTATTCACCAGCTCTTTTAAACAAGGTTTTTTAGTAGAAGTTTAAATGTGAAATCTCTTCCATCAAATCTATTTAGACACTCTCAGAAAAAAAGTGCCCCTTGCGTCTTCTGCAGATGCCACTGTTAAAGATGCTGAATCTTCTTCCCGCCCTCACTCACACCCCAGAACCTGACAGCACTTGAACTCCTCACTGCCTCAGACCAGGTACAGTGACAGAAATAGGGCCCTTAATGATAGTTCTCCAAAGGGACTTGGCTCGCATCGCTTTTGATATTTTCACAATTTCTTACATGTCCGCTAAGGCCCAGGTAACCACGTTTCCATTTCAAAGCTATGGGCTATGGCAAGGCTGAGCACAGAGAACTGGCACACCCAAGGGCATCCACCGCATCAGGGGTAGGGCCTGGTCATAGACCCAGGCACTGCAAGGCAAGACAACTAATAATAATTTAGTGGACTCTTATACAGCACTTACTTTGTGCTAAGTATTATTTCATACTAGCCCCATTGGGTCTTATAAAAAAAATACCTTAGGAGGTAGATATTACCTGTTTGCCAGATGGGGAAACTGAGGCAAAAAAAAAGGTTACACTAAGTTAAGCAGTAGTGATCACACAGCTGATAAGTGACAGAAGCAAGATTTGATCCAGGTAGTCTGGCTCCAGAGCCTGTGCTTTTTTCTATCACTATCCCGCACTGGCTTTTACATGCCTGAGATTGCATAAAACAAATTAAAACAAAATTAAACACACATACACACACACACTTCGAATGATCCTCAATATGAAGGCATTCTTAATAATGTCTAAAAACTGTCTCATTTAACTGTGTATGATATGGACATCATCTGTAGTAAGTATTTAAGCTACTCTCATTTTCTCATGAGACTACAAGGGGTTGAAGTGAGTACATGGGATCAGTATGCACCGTTCCTACAAAGTGCTGATTATGTGCCACGTACTGTGCCAGAGCCACAGCCATCTTTAAAATTTACAAGTCAAATGAGATTCTAATTAGAATTAGATTGATCTATATTTGGGACACTCAGTAGGAGTGAAGAACTTTTAAAATCTATACTCGGTTCTCAGGTCCCATTCTCCCTTTGTCAGTAGAAAGACAATTTCGAAATTCTCCTCTGTTTCAACGGGCTGAGAATCTCAAAGTAATACAAAATTCGATTTGTAAAGCAATGTCACCTGCAGCATTCCTCCCCCCAGCACACTTTCTTTTCTTTTTTTCCCTCCTATTATACTTCTTGTTCATGAGACCCAGTGCTATCACATGAGGATGGCAGCATGGTGAAATGTATGGGCTTTGGATTCAACTCTAAATCTTGGCCCAGGTACTTACAAATTGTATATCCTTGGGTAAGTTTTTAAACCTTTCTCTTCCTATCTATAAAATAGAAATAATGTTAGTATCTGCTTCAGAAAGATGTTGGGAGGAGTAGATAACATCTGCAGAGTGTTTAGGAGAGAGCCAAGTGCATGGTAAGCCCATAATACATGTTAGTCACTGTTACCACTGGAACATGTAAAGAGGTTGTTCCTCCCTGTTCAGGTTGTGGAATAAAACTTCTAACAGTACAGTTCATAGCAATGATCGCTGTCAATGTTTCTATGTAGATCACAAGAAAACACTTCAGAATTTATTGACAAAATAAATAACTATATGTAGTCCTTTCTTTCACTGTTATTACTGAAAATATATGGTGGAGTGAATGAAATAACATGACAATTGATAACAAGTATCTTCTTTTATCACTACTTAGTATTAAATAATAATTTTATTAGAATCATGGCCAGAATTGTTACTGAAATTGCAGATGGTTTGCATTTTACTTGCTTCTATAGGTTAAGAAATAAATGATTCTTGCTTTAGAGATCACCGTTTATGTTGCTAAACCTTAATGTATTGAATAATCATGCAAAATCTTCCATATAGGGGATGCGAATTTAATTTTTACTTACCTCTGTAGTCCCTTACATTGGTAAAAGCAAACAAAACAATAAAATAATTACTCAGTTTATCGCCCACACCATACCTTCCTTCACCTCCTGTTTTTTGTCTTGGTTTTCCAGTTCTGAATCATGGCCAACTTTGGGTTCCACCATTTCCTCATCATCCTCATCCTCTAGAAAAAAGAAAGAGAAAAATGCAATATTTTTTTCCTTCAAATCAAAGTCTTTGGTTGATGGTGGGAGGTAGGGGTAAAGGGTAAAGTTCTAATCATTTAGGGCAACTTCTAAGTAAATCAGTCCACAATGAATGCTCAAGATAAATGTTCATGAATATATGAATAAATTTTCTCCAAAAGGGGCCTCTTTGATAGTTTCCCTAATCTGCTGAGAAAACCGCCCCGAGTGGGCACCTGCTACATCCACCTCCAGGCCCTCGCCACGTGGAATGTCTTGGAATTGCCTCCCTGACCTCTGAAGCTTCTTCGGAGATGGCCCAGGAATGGATCTTAAAATGTTTCCACCTGGAGCACATTTTCCACAGGGGACACCTGCTGTACAGATGACTCATTTCCAATTTAATTCTTGCCAAATTAATTTGTTTTTGACCTACAGGAAAGGGTTAAATACAGGTCTGACCCCAGGTCAAATGCCATTGGCAAGTAAACAACCAGGGGTACGGTCCCCAAAGTCAATGCCATTGGTCTGAGAGAAAGCAACCAACCCGAAATGGGATTTATACATTCAAAGCAGTCCCTGAATTAATGTGAATTTAATGAGCACTAGCAAATGGACCCAGTCAGCTACCACTGCCAGATGTTATAGTGCCCTTCCTGCCCTATGCAAATGTATGCTCATTTTCTCTCTTATCTCAACTTGCCTTTCTTAGACGTCCCTTCCATTATAGAGGGCTTGAAATCATCAGCCACAACATAGATTTAGGAGAGACTCAAGATGTCACAAGAAAATTCAACTTATAGCAAATAAAATGATATAAAAAATTAAAATTTATTTTCATGTTTTTTGAATATATTTACTGGAGGTTATTGATTTCATTGGTTCAAATGGAGTTTATCAAGGAAATGACTTCACTTCTCCTCCCATCCCATATATTCATTCACTCAACAAATATTTACAGACCTTCTAAAAAATCTCGAGCTCTATGGATTGTTCCATTCCCATCACAATAAATCCTGAAATTTATCAACTCAAAATTTCAGCACCAACCACTTAGAGAATACATTATAAATGCATACTTAAATGCCCAAATATATATGTATAGCCTGAAAAGCAACTGCCAAACTTCTGACTATATTAAGCAAGTGATTTGTAGAAGGGATATTAATTAAAAATATGGATGTGTAAAATATAGCATTGCAATTTAGATACTAAAATTTTAAGATGTGAATTTTCATAGAAATACAGTAGTCTATATGTATGCATGTAGATTGTGAAACCAACCTAATTACCACACTATACACATATCAGATTACAGAAAACACTTTTAAGGAGAATTACCATTTATTATTAACACACAACTGAGGTACATTTATGAGATTAAAAGTTGCACTTAAAATTTTGAAACTAACACTAAGTTACACATATTTTTAGACAAATAAATCTTTTTTTTTTTTGAGACAGAGTCTCACTGTGTTGCTCGGGCTAGAGTGCCGTGGCATCATCCTAGCTCACAGCAACCTCAAACTCCTGGGCTCAAGCGATCCTACTGCCTCAGCCTCCCGAGTAGCTGGGACTACAGGCATGTGCCACCGTGCCCGGCTAATTTTTTCTATATATTTTTAGTTGTCCAATTAATTTCTTTCTAATTTTAGTAGAGACGGGGTCTCGCTCTTGCTCAGGCTGGTTTCGAACTCCTGAGCTCAAACAATCTGCCCGCCTCGGCCTCCCAGAGAGCTAGGATTACAGGCATGAGCCACCGCGCCTGGCCCAAATAAATCTTTAAAATATTAAGTTATAAACAGCATATCTAAGTCCTTACCCATATGTAAAGATATTACTACTATATATCCCCCAAAAATTCTGCTTAAAGAGTCCTGAACAAAAGAGTCCTGAACACCTTGGCTGGGCGTGTTGGCTCATGCCTGTAATCCTAGCACTTTGGGAGGTTGAGGTGGGAGGATTGCTTGAGGCCAGGAGTTCGAAACCAGCCTGAACAATGTAGTGAGACCTTGTCTCTACAAAAAATAGAAAAAAAAGCTGGGCACGGAGGTGCACATCTACAGTCCTAGCTACTTGGGAGGCTAAGGCAGGAGGAGGATCGTTTGAGCCCAGGTGTTTGAGGTTGCTGTGAGCTATGATGATGCCACTGCACTTTAGTCTCAACAACAGAGTGAGACCCTATCTCAAAAAAAAAAAAAAAGAAAAAGAAAAAAAAAAACCCAACTTAACATGATGTATATTCCTGATTCAAGGATCTAACACAAAGCCCAGTGAGGAATGAACTGGAAGGAAGTTTCCTTTTTGGTAAATCTTGGATGGAGAGGCAATTTTCAAAAGGCCTCTCAGCTGCTGGAAAGTGTCTCCATTTCTGAAACTTCTAGAGACATTCTTTAAATCTAATAGATTCAGCAGCCATGTCTTGATACTTATTAAGTGTAGGGAAAATACACCAAACACAAAGGTGATAAGGCCAGTGTTATGGGTTGAACTCAGTCCTCAAAACTCATACACTGAAGTCTTAACTTCCAGCCTCTCACAATGTGACCTTATTTGAAAATAGGGTCATTGCAGATGTAATTAGTTAAAAGGAAGTTATACTGGAGTAGGGTGGGCACCTAATCCAATAGGACTGGTGTCTTTATAAAAAGGGGAAACTTGGACACAGACACACACATATAAGGAGAACACCACGTGAAGATGAAGGCAAAGATCGGGGTGATTCCTTCTACAAGCCAAGGAGCGCAAAGATTGCTAGCAAACCACCGGAAGCTAGGGGGCAGCATAGAACAGAGTCTTTTCCACAGCCCTCAGAAGGGACCAAGTCTGAGGACACCTTGATCTCAGACTTCCAGCCTCCAGAACTGTGAGGCATTAAATTTCTGTTATTTAAAACACCAGTTTGTGGTACTTTGTTACGGCAGCTCTAGGAAACTAATGAAGCCAGTAAAACGCATTTCCTTCTAGGATCTTACAATTTAGTAGCAAAGATAGGGAGATATGCAATAATACCTAAGGTAGTGATGAGTGCTTTGCTTGTATAATCTAATTTATCAGAACTTAGTACTATTAACCCAGTTTTATAGATGAGGAGACAGTAATTTCCCCCAAGGAAACTGCCAACTATATCAAGCTTCAAGTTCTGTCTGGTTCTGCCTGCTTTTGGGTCTGGGATCTTTAACTACTATTCAAACTGTCTCCTGAACCACAGCATGACATGAAATGCAAATGCCATGGAGAAAGGACTAAAGTACAAGCGGGTGCAATGTTCAGTTGCAAGGTAAGGAGGGGCTCTGTGGGGGTGCTTTGAAGTGGGCATCTCAACATGGATCACTCTTTCACTTTCAGGAGGTAAGCAAATGTAAGTTCAGCTGAGCAAAAGTTAGGTTTTACACCCTCGAGAGATGTACCTAATAGATTATTTTATCAAGAATATATACGCTACATCCAAATTCTGTTCTTATTTTCACTCTGGAATCCACTGCTCTGAAACCTGGCCAGGAATACTTAACATGAAGCATTAATTCCTCCAGGCGGAAAGATTCACAATTGGATGTGAGCAGCGTTCCAAGGGAAGTCATTGATCTGGCTTCCAGGCCGTAGCGTACCGCTTGTTGGCCCCTTGATTTTATCTAATTCATAGAAACTCTCTGAGCCCCTGTTGCCTCATCTGCTGAATTGGGATAATAATCCTTCCGTAAAACACATTGTTGTAAGGATAACTAAATGAAATAATTGATGCAAAATTTCTTTTTTAAACCATCAAGAGAGTTACTTGAGAGAGTTACTTGAGTTACTTGAGAGTTACTTACGCAGAAATCTTCAGACAAATGTTGCCTTAGCTTGTAACAAATGCTGATTGAGCACTTACTAGGTGCCAGGTGCTAGGCAAACAGCAGGGAACAAGACAGACAGACGTAAGAATCTCTGTGCTCATGAGGCTTCCATTCCAGTTAGGGAAGAGAAACCACAAACAAATAAATAAACAAAGTATATTCTGTATCAGACAAGGGCTATAGGAGAAATATAAAACAGGCAAGGGGCATTAGGCATTTTGGCCAGGGGAGGGAGAGTCTCAACTTACAATACAGTGGCCAGGAAAGTCCACACTGAGGTGACAGTTGAGCAAAAACTTAAAGGAGTTAAGAGAGTGAGTTGTGTGAAGATCTTGGGGAAATAGACTAATAATGAGTAGATTATTTCTCCTCATTCTCTGGACCCAAGGGGTATAATGGGCCAAGGTCTGAATTCATTCATTATCAGTTCTATTGACCATAGATAACAATTGTGCTTTCGTTAGAGCCATCTAGTTTGTGCATTCACAGTTTCTAGTTCTCAAAACTGAAGGTGGTTTTACCAAATGACTGAATTAGTCAGCTTTAAATAGTATCAAGTTCTCATCTTTCACAGATATAAGGGGTTTTATTTTAAACGTTAATTCTTGGAAGAGTCAAAAAAGAAACATCAGGATCAAAAATGCCACCACGAGCTTATTGAAAAAATATTCGGCGAAGGGTTTGGCTATAAAAAGGGCTGGGTTTGAGATTCAATGTGTTAGTTTATGCACAGAAGCATGTTGGGAAATAGTGGGTTATCTCATTCCTTAAATGGAAAAATCCTTCCCCAGAGAATATGTTTTCGATCAGTTTAAAAAGAAAAACACAACAAATGTGTATTGTGTTTATAATATGTGCAAAGTCCTATATTGAGATACTGTGAATAACAAAGAAATTTAAAAAATAGTACCTGCCCTTTTAGAGTGGTTACAAACCAGTTGTAGGCATTGATTTTTAGTGGTCACAGAATTCTTTGTTTATCAGCCTTTTAGAGACATAAAGTAAGTGTTTCAGTGGATTTGTTAAGGAAATAAAACACAAGAGACTGGTTTGTTTCTTTGCATACTGATATGTTTGCCTTGCTCGGCAAAGAGAGTATATTTTTCTTTAAGACTCTGGTTTCCTTTCTGGTGCAATTGGAATTACTTCTGTTGAAACCATTT